CTTCGACAATATGCGCATAAAGACATGCACTTCGACTATATGCACATAATAACATGCACTTCGACTATATGCGCATAATAACATGCACTTCGACAATATGCGCGTAATAACATGCACTTCGACAGTATGCACATAATAGCATGCACTTCGGTAACATTCACATAATCGGCTTATTGCTGATTTTATAAAACATAAAGAAATAGTAAATATATAATAGATATCGATTATTGCAGTAGAATGACAAATTGTCGCACATTTCAAATTCATTCCAAGCGATGAGTCATCATCTGTAAAACAAATGCATGACGAATTTTTATTGAATTGTGATGAAATCACAAAGTTTGGAGGAAATAAAAGGGTGAGAAGAAATGTTAGTGAGAAGAGTTTCCATTCTATACTCACTGCCGAACATCGATCGATTCCTATGTACTTTCTAAAGTGATAAAAACAGTGCTATCATCCTTCTTCTCTTAATATTACCCGCCTTATCTTCCCAATTTATCTTCCGGATTCGTTCATTTATCGTTCCTATCTATTTTCCGGATATCTTCGTCATATATCATATCAGTTTCAATTGATCTCATATTATTTTAATCTTTCTCATTATTAACATGATAATAACTTAGTGAATTTATTGTTATCAGTTACTAATTTTGTCATTATTATAAAATATTAGTGTGTAATTATATGAATTATTATATGAATTAGTCTTATCAGTGCAAATCCGATTACTGATTATTGTACAGAACGGAACTTATCATTCAGTCAGTCACAAATATTCTCATTTCCTTATCAGGTAATATTGCTTGTATAAGAAAAATTATTAATCATATTATTTCCAGACAACATCTATCATACCTTCCTCTCTCACTCTCTCTCTCTTCATCCACTCCACCTACGGGAATTTGATAATCGATCGGTGACAGTTTACCTTTTTATCCTTGCCTTCGGATGTTGCGACAGAGCAATGGGGACTTCTTGGAAAACAACACAGCTGATCGATTGGCATAGCTCCCGCAACTTTATTTATATATACTCTATGGTAGCATTCTTTGAAAAGTAAACAATCAATATGGCATTTGTTTGACTGAAATAAATTTTCGGTTTTGGGGTTTTTTCGGTAAAAAAAAAATTCAATATAAACTAAAAGAAAAAGCTTTCCATACATCTTTGCCATTTCTCATTTGAAATAATAATGCAGGCAGAGGGATATGATGATAAAGATGGATAAGGAAATTTAGAAATATGCGATGATCTTATCCTTATCATTCCTATCATATTTCTTATTATCATTAATATCGTTAACCATTTCAGTTTCAGTGATCGCTTTCTTTTCTTCTCTTAAATAATTTTAATGTGATAGCTTTTCTTTTACTACAAATGATCAAATTTTTTATCAAAAATGAAGTATTTTAAAGAAGTTAGTGTCATCATTTTATTGATTTTATCATTCCCTTATCATCTATCTTCCTACTATTATTCTTACTCGGTTCTTGTTTTGCTTTTTTTCTGAACCAAAATTATAAAATTAATTTTTTTTTTCTTTAGTTCGGAAATGGGCGAATTTCAACGCAAACTAAAAGAAGGCGAAATATTACGCTATAAATCGAGTTTCTTGAGCAAGAAATGGAAAGAATGTTGGGCTATGCTATTCAGTGATTCCGAATTTGTTTGGTACGACAAAAAGGTCACTTTTTACTCGTCATTCTTCCTTTTTTCTTTTTTGGTTGACCTTGAAACAGAAATGATTGTCTTTCCGGTTTTCTTTAAAGCACCGATAATTTACCTGAAATGAATGTTTACAACCACAGATGATTGCTTCAGTTTGATAATCATCGATAATTAATGTTGTAATTACGGAGTCAGTTAATCATCTGAATGCGTTAATTAATTGGTTGCCATTAATTTTTAGAGCTTCTTCCAAGTAACTTAGTTTCAGTTATTTCCTGCTTTTATTTCATACATGTTTTCGTTTCAGGATGATTCGAAACCGGCAGGTTCAGTTTTCTTGAAAGATGTGGTACCGTATACATGTGTTGGACCAATGTGTGATCGAATGCCAGGTTTCTTTACCTTAGATATCTTACTAGATGATGTTATCCTAATAAAAAGATATGAATAACCTGTAAGTTAAGTACTCTATGGGTAGAAGATTAGATGATATAGATGGTAATGAATTTAGGTTATATATTAATTGAATATCATAAGAGTAAATGGTTATATGACGTAAATGAGAGCAAATTTTTGAATACTTCAAATGTTCAAGATTTCATAATGGAAATATTTTGGAGTGATTCGAAGTTCAAATTTTGATATTCTCTAATTTACAGTACGTCGACCAGAGTTACCACAACGATACTCGTTGTATCACTTAGTGGGTATTGGAATGGATGCGCAAGCAAGCAAAGTTCATTGGTTCCTATTCTCTTCTGATTCCGATCTTGAGTAAGTTTATTTATTTCGCTTATGACAATTCTTGCATCTTCTCTTCTATTTGTGATTGACAGTTTTACACGCATTCTCATTTTCAGGTCATGGTTTACGGAAATCATGAAAACCCTACCGAAACCGAATCCTCCTCCAGCTGATGCTCAACAGCTGCCAGCAAGTGGACCGAATGCGCCACCACCTACTTATAGTAAGTTTTTTTCTTTTTAAGGCACTTTCTGGGATTAACTTCTTTGGCACTATCAAACTGTTACATTGTAATGTTTCGTTTATGTATAGCTTATTGAATTCAGATCCTCCTCCGGTGTATCCGACTAGTCCACCTCAAATGGCCAATACGTATCCTAGCCAACCGGCATATAATCCAGCAACAAATCCACCACAACCTCCAATGTATGCTTCAACCGTTCCAGGATATGGTGGTGCTGGTCCTGGTGGTGGTGGTACCACAGTTATTATTGCTGTAAGTTAATTTATTATATGAAGTTGCATTATTTTAATTATTGTTTTTTTTAGGATATAAAAAATTTGAATCTTTTTAGTAATTTGTCTCATTTACAGGATCGAAATGGAAGAGGTTATGGACAACCATATGGTGGTGGTGGTGGTGGTGGTGGTAGCAGTGGTCCTGGTCTTGGGACTGGCATGTTAATGGGCTCATTGCTAGGCTTCGGCCTAGGCAGTATGTGGGGTGGTGGTTTACATTCTGGATTTGGTTGGGGTGGTCACTGTTATCCATCTCATTTAGGAATGGGCAGTGGCTTTGGTGGAGGATATGTGCAGGTAAAAATTAAATGCATGTAATTTTACTTAACTGTGAAGAAAATGAGATATTTTGGCTTTAATTAGGACTATAAAAAGAATTGACACTTTCGATTTCATTTTGCAAAGCTATCAGTTAATTAAGTAAAGTAATTACTTCATTAAAATAATGGTTAGTTGTGGTAATTAATTCGTTATGAAAGTAATTAATTCATTAAGGTTTTTTTGCAAATTTTTAGCAATTTTACTGATTAACTGACGAATACTTTAAAATCGGTAGAAAAAAAAAAAATAATTGTACGGAGGAAATTCAGGATAACGACACATATATCACGAATAACTACTATAACGGTGATCCGGGAGGTACAGTTGGTGAACATAATACAGGATCATCGACTGTCGTCGATACAATCGATTCAACAAATAACCAGGATGTGGTACAAGATTATGATGGCGGTTATGACATAGATGGCGGGAATCAAGATGATTACGGCGGTTACGATGTAGGAGGTGATTATGATGATTCTGGTGGTTATGATTTAGGAGGTGGCGATGATTTTGGTGGTGGTGACTTCGGAGGAGGAGATTGGTAAATTTTCAATAGCATACCATCCCTAATTGTATTTTTATTTTTCAGCAACTTCTATTCCCTATTGTAATATCCTTCAGATAATCTGTCTGTTGTAACTGAATTGTACATTTAATTCCTTGTAAAAATGATTAATGTAGCATCTCTAAGTTAGCTTTGAATTGAATTATTGCAGTGTTCTCAGTCATATTATTTTTTTGAAAATATCCGAAGTTGTTTGCTTCATTTTTTGCCGACCTTTTTTCATTTCCATCATTTCGGGAACACTCGAAATATAATATTGTCATTTATAAAAATGACAAATGGCTTCTTTTCCCTTTTTGCTGTTAAATATCAATATGTGTATTTTCTGAAAAGTCATTTCTTCTTTATAAGGAAATTGAACATTTAGTTCGAAATTTCTTAAAAACAAAAAAAAAAAAAAAAAAAAAAAAATAGAATGGGTGGAACGGGAATGTCAACATTGCTGCACACAGGCTTCATTTTCAAGAATTAAAACAAACTGTTGCAAGCCGAATATGTTCATTCCTTATCTCAACTGATAAGATAAGGCTGAGATTTGATTGTATATTTTGCAATCTTTTTAATCCCTTCAGGTTATATGAGACTTGTTTGTCTTCCCATCCTAGTGTATTCAACTTTTTTCATTCGATTGCTGCTAGTTAATTGATTGATTAACTGATCTCATCATGCAAATATTTAAGTTTTTTCCCTGAAATTTTGGCAGAAAACTTAATTAAGTTTTTAAATAGAATCTACTTTTCCGTTTACGGATTTTTTAAAATAATCACTAATAAAATAAATGTTGGTTAGTGAGTGAGAGATTACACGAAATGTTTCAATCTGCAATTTTTCGATGGATAATTTCTCATTCATTCCGATATCTTTATCATTTGATAAGAAATGATACATTGTAGCAAATGACTAGGCAGTTCAGATAATTAATGATTATATCATATACTTTTGTTTGTAAAACATATTTTTGAATTGATAAAAAGCAGAAATTTGTGAATACGAGGTTTCTCTGCTATATCTTTTTTTTTCTGCTATTTTTCCTGTTTCATTAATTATAAAATCTAATTAATTTTGAAGATATATTAACAAAATGACGGAAAAAAATATTCCTTTTAATTTCAATACTTAAACAGCGAAATGAAATTAACTTCAAATGTACTTTTTCTTTCATTAATGATCATTTTCAAGCAAAAATAAAATTCATCCATTCATGTATTTTAAGCATCAAATCAATTCTTAATTACTTACTTCGTTATTTACTTATCAGCTGTATATTGTTCACTTAATAGTATATGAAGTAAACTTCGATACATAAAAAAGTATCACAGTAGTATAAATAACAAATAATGGGAAACAGATACAAATGCGTTCTATTTTTGAATCACAACCATAATGATAACGAATAAGTAATTTCATTACTTTTTTTCTCTCTAAAACATATAAAGTTGAGAAAGTTGCAACTATTCGATACATTTGATATTACGTTTGAGATATTTCAGGTAGACCATAAACCAAACATATATACATTTACATATATGATATTAGTACTTTTATATTGATTGGAAATTATTGCTTATTTTACTGCTAAAATCCAATTCTTATCATCTCAAAAATCGATTGAAACATTAACATTTGTAATATTTCAATCGTAAATAATAAAGTAAAAGTGATAGGAAATGTAACAAATGTTTGACTTGTAAATGATAATATTTTCAAAAGAAAGTTTTCACGACTAAGCCTTAATAAAAACTATTAAAGCAAGGAAAAATGATCGAATCATATCAAGCTGCAATATAAACGTTTATTAGAGATTTACAAATGTTGACGTAAGAATGATAATTTAGTGGTTGAAACGTGGTCTTAAGTTTTCTCTCTTCAAAACGCTTAAACAATTTGCTTAATCACATGCTAATAAATAGTAAATACTAAACCTTATTGTAATTACTTAGCTTACTTTTCAACTTACTAAATGTATCATACAATGAAATTTAATTGTAACAGAATAAAATTTAAAAGTATCAAATAACCCAATTGAGAATCCCCTGTATTGCTAATCTTTTGGATAATATTGATGAACATTAATCTAGATAGATTTGTTAGATTAAAGAAAGAGAGCAAGTATGGCAACAATAACTACTATATCGTGGATTAGAACATAATCCAATTTTGGTAATCAGTTTACACGTTGTCGGATTACCTTTATCTATGCATGAATCGATCATTTCTATAACTGAAATTTAACATATTGAATTTCAATAGATTAGAAATGATAATGACTTAACTTCCTTTTTTCTTTTCTATCAAAACTACCGATAAATATCATTCATTATTATTTTTAATAAAATGCTAAATGGTTTAAAATTAATTAAATTTGATACCTTTGACATTCAAATGAACAGTATTGGATAAAATAGCATTTGACCCAACCGAACACGAATAATCGCCTACATCTGACTGATGTATTTTGGTAATATATACTTCACTGTGATCATCCTTCATCTACAATTTTGTAGAATAAAATATATATATACATTGGGAAAATTGGAACTAATAATATAATAACAAATAAAATTGGAGGAAATAAATAATTACTTAGTCAATGTCTTGTATGTAAGTTAATTTAAAAGTACTAAAAATTATTCTTCCATAAAAGGTCACCGTGATTCAACCTTCCTACTGATTCATCAACCAAACCTTTGATGATGATGATGATGATAATGACCAATGATGATATTTGTACTATTAAAATGACTAATTCTTTGTTATGAATGTTACAAATGAATGGTAAAATTTCTCCATTTAAGTTACATAGTTTGAAATTTTGAAATTTTGAAATCTCTTTCCTCTCATTCTTACAAAATTCAAAATCTTCTTTTTGGAAACGGGGACAAAGGAAATAATTTGTTGTTAATATATTGTTAATATAATTTCAATTTTTCAATGAAGCTTTCAAGAATGAAAAAATATATGTAAAATAAAAGAGCATTTGAAATGGGAAGAGATAATTGCAACATTTAATTTTATCGTGATCATTTTCGGCATATTTTCTTTCAATATATTAGCGCATTTTGATGAAGAATATGCCGATAATGGTCATTTATTTTTTTTTATTTTTTTTCATTTATTTTTTTTGGCAAAACAAAGCTATCTATACTATAATTTAAACAAATATTTGAACAAATCGTTTCAGATGAAATAATAAATTTGAAAATTTAACGGAATTTAAAAGTTCAACAGAAAATATTTACATATATCCTTTGATTATCGTTAGAAATTTGCAATAGTATATCGTTTTATGCCATCGTATGGGATACTGTCCATTAGTTTTACATCTTAATGTTACTGTCGATCCAACAGGTGCCGGATTATAACCAACAAGGATAAGCGTTGGACG